AAGCTCGGACGAGGTTTCCTGTTTGCGCTACTGTAGTTCTTGGTGCCAACAGCAGTTAGGTGCGCGGTGATGAAAACAGCACTAATTATACTCACAACTCATGCAGTGACTGATATGTAAAACTATCATGGAAGCAGCCGTGACAAAGCCGCACGCACATCCAAAAACTGTATTCCACTGCTTGTATGGTTATTATCATTTCGGAAACATGGAGCAGGCGCACATCTACACCAAGGCTGACAGGACAAGTGTAAAGTGGATTCAAGAGTATGAAGAGACAGGGAAACATCAGCAAGCTAAGTCATACAAAGACAAATAGTTCACCAAAAAACACTGGCGGTGGTTATTTGGCTTCAATCAATCGAAACCTCTCTCATATCTTGATGAAGCGCAATATGCGTTTAAAAGGCACATAATATCTCCTTATCAAAGACATCGATATGGACAATCATCCATGGGATTGGTTTGACACCGGAAGTTTTGGAAAGCCGAGCGATTCTCAGTAAGAAGATGGACATCTTTCATTTCACCAACGGGTTGAGTCGCATTGACCGGAATCACTAAAACAATTGGTGGATCTAGAGGAAGTTTCTTTTGACAACGGAGGAATGATACGGAAACGACGTTATTCTCTTCGAGGATCTAAAGTCCCTATCCGTGGTGTTTTTCAGCGGAAACCACGAGTGTCTATCCTAGCCTTCATTAGTGTTCATGGTATTATCGATTTTTAAAATACCAATAGAACGTTCAATCGAGTTGAATTCGTGAAATGGGTGCCTGCCAAAAAGGGCTTAAACGGGTGTCATATCTGCTGCAGATATGCCAAAGTTTAAGAAGACATAAATGCTCGTGAGACGATATTTACGTCTCACGAGACGAACCTACCCCTAGATATATGTCGTGTAGCCATCTTAAATTTAATCAACAGATTTGTATACTTTAAGTTGACCATCACTCTGGTATAAGGCAGCGACTTAAATGAGAATCTACCGAAACTTCAATGAAGTTGTCACTTTCAATTCTGCCTCCGAAGCAGTCAAGACGCAAGGTGGGTTTCAAATCGCAATTTCAAATTGTATTTTGTTATCTAACACGACCTGTGTATCTAGGAACATGGTACATCTTACGCACTCCAGTCTGCACTGGAAACTCCGGTGCATTGCTGACAGCGACGACGAGAACATCTCGCCGAACACTGTGGTGCACCATAAGGCGGAGACCAAGGCCACCACTAGCAGCCAGAGCACCGAGAATGAGCCCGCCGCTAGCAGCCAGAACGTCGAAGAGGACTTGGAATCTACTGGTACGTCGGCGCCTCCTTGGCACTCGCCCGGATACACCAAACGCGTCCCCAAGAACAAGTCAAACCTGCCACCGTCTCAAGAAGACGCCGACACAGTTAGAAGTCCCCATCCGCCTCGCGCACCAACCAGCCCGACGACTTCGTCCCCTCTACTTCTAGAGACACCTCCAGGGTCCCCTGTATGCTTTGGCCCACGTACCAAGACACTTGCTGTTCGTTATAGTGGACGTAAAGCCCGCATGGAGGCAGCTACACCTTACGCTCGTCCGGATCACACGGTTTACAACGACGACCGTCCTGTCGTCAAGCCCAACGGTTCCATGAGCGCGATAACCGAGCTGCCACGGTACTCACGACCAAGTACTTCACGTTCACGTGATACATTCGTACCTGCAAGATGGTCGTGCCGTGTTGTGCATTTGCGAGAGCCTTATAACCCTCTGGCAACTACGTTCCCGTACGTACCAAACTTCGGCTGGTGTGTGTGTTCCGAGTCATGCCGTGTGGGAACCTGTAGAAACTCGTTGATGAACGTGTTCTGCAACATTAACTGCTGTCCGTTCGAAGGCAAATGCGGAAACGGGTTGCTGGAGTCTACGCAGGTGTTCTTAGGGCGCAGTATGCAGACATCGCAGCTTGGAGTGGTGGCTGCAGAGGATATTGACGCGGGCGAGGTACTTTGGCAGTACCTTGGGGAGCTCGAACATGTGAGTGCTTCACGGGCCCTTCGGCCTCGCAACACTGGGTATCGCCTCGTGATGAAGCAGCGCCCGGAAACTCCCTCTCACCCGGTTCGAGTGGCTATTAACGCTGAAGACATGGGAGGCTTAATGCGTTTCGCTAATCACTCGTGCAATCCGGTTGCTGAGTTCTTGGAGGTGGCAAATGGCCGCCGAACCACGGTCGTCGTTGCTACGACTCATGCTGTGCGTCGTGGTGAAGAGGTGACGGTAGACTACGGGGATGACCTGTGGTTCGTCTGCCGCTGCCAGCTGAAGGAGTGCCGTCACCGCGGGATTTAAGATCAGCGCGATCCTTGACGGATCAGTGACGACGAGTACAGCAGAGGACGGCGCGATCTACAGGGGGATGCTGAGGTCGGCGACGTTGACGTAGGTAAGCGCAACTTGAAGGTGGTGCAAAATTAACGGTTTGTAGACCTAAAATATATCGGGAAGTGTTGGTACACCCTTGGTAGGCGACGTGCATGGCTGGCGGCACGTCG